AGTTGAACTGAACCCAATGATGCTGACATCTCTTCTACAGCTTGGAAATTGATAACGACTACATTTGGAAATGCTATGTCTCTCCTTAAAGGGCTAGCTCTGCATCAGCTTTCTGAGAGGTTTCTTCCAATATCAATGACTTCAGTGCTTTCCTCTTTTAAGGAGATGCTTTAAACAAGAATGACTGTTCTTTTTTTTTATGACAAAGATTTCTACTAGTTATATTTTCCAGAAGGAGTCTATGAAGTCATGCCTAACATTTGCAACTGTATGCATTAAATATTTAAGTTCATTGTGGCACTCCATCTCCCACCATAAAACGTCAGTGTGTAAAGGCTCTTCCTGCCCTCCGCCAAGATTTGTGACACAGAACTTTATCACATCCAAATGTGAAATGTGATTCACACTCAGAATGTGTCATCATTTGCACTGATACTCTATTCAAAACTGGAGCCTCTTTGTGTATACAGCTGCATAACATTGCAGGCATGTGGGTAAGAAATAAATCATAATTTAGACTAATAATGGCAGCATCCAATTGGTTAGAGAAAATTACTTCTATTTTACTAATGAAAATTCCTATTAACAACACTTTATTTTCTATGTCATCATGTACATTGCCCATAAAGTCTCTATCATGTAACACCCACTACCACTGTTACATAATAGCTCTAGATGGATGTTCCAAGTGCAGAGCACAGCTACTATTACCACCATCATCAAAAATAATATATGCCCGTCCTTTAAAAGTTTACAACTGGAGCAGGGTAGAAGGGTTCTAGAAGTGCAGGGGAGAGAAGAAAGGGTAAAAAGCTAAAAACAAGCACATGCTAATATGGATGTCTTCAGAATACACTGATTTAGAGAATTTTGGAGCCTTAAATTAACTTCAATGTTCAGTTCAGCCATATTCTCTACCAAGCCCCACCCTGTCTTGCTCCCACCAAACATGGGGTCCAAGTTTCTATTATATCTTCGGGGATAAAACAGCTAAAAGATGACTTGAAAACAGCTACTTTATGTGGGTTTGATATCAGAATATAATAGCCTTATACAAAAAGATCTGTAAAGAACAAAAGTCTATCTGCATATCCAACTTTCTAATAATGTTTGCCCTATTCCTCCAAGTTGCCTCAAATGGAGCAAAATATTTTCCTGGCATTACCACATGCAAGAGAGAGTGGCAAATGATCTTTAAAAAAGTATATATAGTTATTGGACAAAGGAAGGTGTGATCAACTCTTAGGGCCAATGTTGGAGGGAAGAGGCAAGATATGACTCATGAAATAAAGAAGGAAATTCATATGCTAAACTTCAAAGGCTTTATGAATCCTCAAATCAAGAAGTATAACTATTGTGGGCTGGCTGTGAGGGGAGAGCCATTCTGATGGAGAGTTTATGTCTGGCCTGGGTTGTTGCCTTTAAGGGGCTGTAGTTGTGCAATGATCCCGTGTTCTTTGCTGGGGTGCTAATATATCCTGACAGAAGTTCTTATTGTCATTCTTTAATCCCTGGGAGTTAGCAGGTAGTTACAGCAACCTGGCTCCATCCTAACATCTGTTTGGACCCCTTACATGCGGTGCTTTCATCTTCTCCCTGGATACACACATTTGTTACATTTTCTTTCCATTCCAACAGGTTTGTTTGCCTTGAACAGAAATCCTTTTCCACACATTTCTTCATCTCCAGAGGAAATGCTGCCACAGGAATGAGGCCAGTGGATGCCGCCTCTCATATTAACATTTTGTAAAGAAAAACACCACTTAAACTTTTAAACCATCTTTACTCAATGATAAACACTGGTTTGATAGCTCAACCACAGCCACTGACATTTGCAACCTACCAATTGTCATGCATTTTCTACCCCTAACTTACAAATTCCAGACTTTTCATCTTTTCCTGGGGTTTAATTTCTTGTTTGATGAACACCATTTTTTTACCTGAATAAAGCATTTGCTAATGCCACTTCACAAAAATCACCTAAGTCACTCACATAAGAGTGTTTGCAGATCTCACTCAATCTGGAGCCAAGCTGGTGTTGAATTTCACATCTAACTCTATAAATTACCCCACACTTTTATTTGGGGGAGAGCAAGGGTCACTTTTCCTCCATCTCCCTTGCTGAACATGAGTATTTAAACTTCCTGAACTCTCAGAGCCAATATTTCACAAAGAAACAGTGAGTGATTATCAGCTGACCAGAGGTAGATGCTGGGTGATTCACTGGCTTCGTCCCAGCTGGGTGATTTATTTCCATGTACCAGCTTCGCAGTGTTTACTTAAGGAACATTCAAGGTAGTACATACACTAGGAATTCAAACTAACTCATGACCAAATGAAGCACATGGCCAAATGCTCCTACTATAGTTCATTCAGAAATGTCTCCAGGTCCTTGTAAATGTTTTTCAATTTATAAAGAAGGCACTACTTCAACCCTCTGCTTTTCCTACTAATTCTGGGTCTTTACTCAAAAACCGTCTCCAGGATTGGTTTTCTCATAATTCCTTTCCTTCTTCTATACTTTCTCCCTTCTCATGACCTACTCTCAAATTAGTATTAAATAGAGTTGATAATATTTCCCTCTGCACATTATACTATGAATATATCTCCTTAGAGAATTTTTATGTCTTGTTTATATGACATCACATAATATTGTATATTACATGTGTGATGACACACACACACACACACACCCTACAAGACAGTGAGCCCCTTGAGAACAGAAACCATGCTTTATTTATCTTGCTAATCTAGTGCCTTGCACACAGCCAGGGACAGCAAATAAAACTGCTGAATAAATAAAAGTTGAATTTTAATTTTATCAAGGCTAATAGTAAAAATCTTTTCTGTTTTTCATGGCTTACTTCTCAGGAGATAAAAGTGGTTTGAACTTACTAACCGAATAATGTGCTATAAGTTATGTAGGAATGAGTTATCATTACTCTAATCCTCCGGGAAGAAAAATTGAAGGAAAGAATAATTGTTACTTACTCAATGTTCCACAATTAGTAAAATAAGTTGTAGAAAATGGATCTCATAACTGACATTGTTGCACTCTATCCATTAACTTACGTTGCTCACTTGAGCATCTCATAGTCTCTACATGCGATAAAGTTTCTTTAGTGCAATATGCTGTGTGCTGAGAAGGAATATCAGTTCCGTGCAGTCAGGAAAAGCCCCGGTTTCTCCCTGTTCTTTTATGTAATGGCCAGCAGCGCTATTTTCCCCTCAGCTTCCTAGGTTGGATGGGGACAATATGCTTTAGTGACCATGAGAAAGCATGTAGGAGGCCCCAGCTTTCAGACAGTGTGTAAGCAAATAGCTGCATCATCTGTGTTCCATTTCCCTCTCTGCGAAAAAAGAAAAGCATAATATTTAACAACATCACCAAGCTATTGTGAGGGTTAATTCGATTTAATGGGGGAAGGGAGGTGAGCTGATTAGACACCATTCAAATTCAAAGAATCATTATTATGTGTCTAAAAATAATCCTGATTTAGGAATAAAATTAATTTGGAAGCTCAAGCTTTTGTAATCATCTTCCCATACTTAAAAAAAAAGCCATGATTTTTAATCAAAATCTCATCCTAAGCACAATTCAGTGAAGTAAAAATGGATACCTGTGCATTTCCACTCACTCCTGAAGTAAACAGTACAAAGCTCAAGTTCAATCAATCCTTCTTTTCTTCCTTCTTTTATGAAGATACATTACGTTTAGAAAGAGTAATGTTGTGCAATGGAGTAGTTAATGTGAACATAATGGATTTTAAACCCACATTAATTAATTAATTTTTTTGTTTCACATAAAAAATTTATAAAACATCTTAAATCGCTTCTTTATAGAATCAATGAATGATTTGTGGTTGAACTAACTTTTCAGGTCATTTCTGATAATTTCCATCTATATTTCTGTTCAAAAGCTGGTCAGTGAAAGAAGATATTTGTATTTCCCAAATTTAAAAATAAAATCCCTGGATATTTAAAGCCTAGTCAGAAAAACACACACATCTAAATAATAATCAGCAAAATTAATATAATAGACTAGAGGCCCAGTACACGAATTCATGCATGGGTAGGGTCCCACAGCCTGTCCGATGATCAGGGGCGACCAGGGTCAATCGGGGCCAATGGGGGCTGGCCGGCTGGGAGAAGGGACCACAGGAGGTTGGCTGTGGGAGCGCACTGACCACCAGGGGGCAGCTCCTGCATTGAGTGTCTGCCCCCTGGTGGTCAGTGCATGTCATAGCTACCGGCCAGTCCAGTTGTCTGATCATAATGATCGCTTAGGCTTTTATATTACTTTGTAGATTACATTTAGATTACATTGTAAAGATTACATTTAGATTACATTGTAAAGATTACTTTACAATGAAGTAGAAGTTGGTGCCTGAGAAAAATCTAAATTATTGCCGAAATCCCACTTGAAAAGCTTACAGTATTTTCCAAAAAGGAGAAACATTTTTTAAAAATGTAACAGTTGACAATCCTGGGAAATATATCTGTTATGAAAAAAAATATTACATTCAGTTTTTAGTGAGTAAAGAGTTTTGGCTGGAAAGGAATTTTTCAAAGGAAAGGGAGACAACGAAATTCAGTTAGTAGAAACACATTCTCTGTAGATGGACTTTCAAACTTTTTCATTTCATAGCACACATAAACTAATTACTAAAATTCTGCAGCACGCCAAAAATATATTGTCTTTTTTGCTGACCTGAACCCCCTCACCCCCAAAAAAAGTAGGTATAATCTTGATTCATTCACCCCAGATGGCTACTGTTGTTTTGGCTGTTGTCATTTTTTATTTCACAATCTAAGAGAAAAGAGGTCAGTGTCCCTGACTAAATAGTCAGGTATTACATGTTTTAAAAATTCTTGAGGCACACCTGTTGAAAACTGCTGCTCTACAGAGGAACAGAAATAATTCTATTTTGTTATAACACAGATCTATTAAAATTTCCCATAAAACTGAAACATTCTCATAATTTAGACTGTGTACTCACCAAGCAAACTTCTGATTATTCATTCGACTTCCCCTGACCCTTGATACTGGGGACGGATGTACCCTGTAGGTAGATGAGAGTAATCTAGTCATTGAAAAAGCATATTCCCAATTACAAATGAACAAATAAAAAGGAATCTGGTTTATAAATAATCTTTTAGACTTGCTTTACTATCAAATCCCCAAGAACCTGATCACCTCTTAGTAAATGGATGCAGGTAAGTTCCTATGCCTACAAACCTTAAGGGTCTCTCTTTTCCTTTCTGTACCACCTATACCATGACAAGAGTTTCTCATATGTTCACTGTGAAGACCCCCAAAAGAGGACCAGCAGTTTTAATCAACTGATTTCATTCATTCAGTCCAACAAAGAGTTACCAACTAGAGTACCTGCCCTAAATGGGCCCTTTCTGCTACCTATTCCTACATGCGGGGAAGGAGGGACATAAGAGACAGTCTAAGTGCACACTTTCTCAGTTAACTTCTAGACTTAATAAAGCAAGATTATAAGGGGATCAGGATATGCCACCCCAAAATATGCTACTTTGGCGTAAGGATTATTTTCAGCTAAAAGTAACTGAGAAACAGCAGACATGGGAGGAGCTCTCTATCTTCTTTTACAGGCCTAATAGCAGGACATAAACTTATCTTTTGGAAAGAAAATTTGCACTTGTAAAGGTGTCCCTCTCTCCCATCCCGGGAAGAGTAGTACATGGTATAAGTCTTATCACCAGAGATGGTACTGAAATGAGTCTGCCTAAAAAAACCTTTATTTACCATTATTTTTCCTATATATTTCCTACTCACCTTCTTACAGTTTATCCCCCATTGAAGCCCAGACCCCTTTTCTTTTGACTAGTTCTTTCTCCACAATTTATCAGCCTTTGTTAAAATGGTGACAGTATAAGCTCCAAATTCTAATCACGTTTTGAGTTACTTATCACTCAGTACTTTTACATGTTTGCATGGTATACATATGAACTGCTGGGCTTTTTCCCCTCTTGCTAATTTGTCTTTTGTCAATTTAATTTTCAGCCTCCGCCCTCACTGAACCTGAGCGGATACAGGGAAAACTTTTTTCCTCCCCTACAATAATTTCATCCAAATGTCCAGGAACAGAGTCTGGGGGAGGAAAGAGGGGCCAATAGTTAATTTCTAGAAAAAAGACCTTCTAGATGTGATGCTCTACAGCTTTGGGCTTTGAAGAATGCAAAGTCAATTAAAAACTTTAGCTAAATAATAAAGAAGTAAAGACTAGACTGTTGTACAAGCTTCCAGGGCTGGAGTCATCCACTGGAAACAGTTTAAATGTCCGTGACCTGCTGACACCTTCCAATCACAAGCCGGCTGCTGCACCTCCCCCTCTCTGTGGGTCCCTCACTGGCAGCGCCACGTGCCCTACTTCCTGCTTCCTCCTGGCCAACTTCCCGCTTCGTTCTAATGTTACTAGGACTTGTGAGGTCTAGGCAGTGTTTTAGCTTGTCTTAGCTTGACTCTTTATGTCTCAGACATTGCTCTTTTTTTAAAGATTTATTTATTTCTTATTTAATTTTTTTCTTTATTGATTAAGATATTACATATGTGTCCTTATCCCTCCATTGCCTCCCCCCAGCCCCCTGTTGCCTGTATCCATTTCAGACATTACCCTTATTTACAAGACAGAAAGAAAAAAAAAAACACAGGGGTTTTAAACTCCTGTCGAAGCCTGGTTAGAACCAAAAGTTCCAAAGTTCCTCAGAACCCTGGTTTTCCATGGTGTTTAGCAAGTGGAAATCACATTTCAAAACAGATAATACAGGTCTAGCCACTCAGAAGGGCCAACTTGCAGTCTTTCAGTACAGCCAGAGCCAGACTGCACTTTGCACCCGGAAGGCTTATTTCTTCCAACTTCTCTTATTAACATTCTTTCCCTCACAGCACTTCTCAATGGCTGCTGCAGCTGAGCTGCTCAGCACAGATTTTCTGCTCTGCATGGGGGAGGGGATGTTAATTATGCAGAAAGATGGAGGGAGGCCAGACAGCCCCTCTGGTGAACTGTCTCATTCAAGCAAGGCCCACTTCCTGCTGTTTTGCAGCTACAAGGATCACCTGTTGGTCTTGGCGCTGGGCCAAACTGGGGCCTAGCGGAAATGGCAGACTGGGCTAGAAATGAAAGCCTGTTCATAGTCCAGCATCCCAAATTGAGGAGAGAGGAAAAACATGCCGTAGAAACGTGTAGGAAGTATTCGAAAGGTAGCAAAACTCTCTTTTTTCTTCTTTTTTATTTCTTTCAGTTTGTCTGCTTGAAATACAATCATCAAAATGGAACTGTGAGCCAAAAAAATGTCTCCCCAGTTAAAGGCCCCGTCCTAAGGGGAAACACCGGAAATCCTCTTGAACCTCCCCTGCATCCCCACTGGGGTGTCAGAGTTATGCTGCCTAAATAAAGCTTTAAAAAGTAATAGCCCAAATACAGTTATTTAATTCACTCTCTAGCCTTTAAAAGTTTATCTCTTTTACTGCTTCCTCCTTAACCCTGGGATTTCTATTCATCATGATCATTCCACCTGTTGAAGTTTACTAGTAAATATATTCTCTTATTGATGGTTCTCATTGCATATATCAGCAGAGAAAAACAGGCCTGTTTGACCTTTAATTATAATATTCTCTAGGTATTTGTATCTTGCAGTAACACTTCACTGACCCATCCATATATCAAATACTATAAGCAGGTAATTTCTATAACAGTTTAACAGTCTTCAAAGAATTCCCAAAATTATAGCATTTCTTCAATGAAAATGGTAAAACAAGAAAGCTTTTTCCCCTTCCCCAAATTAGTAAATGGATAACCTGGAGCTTATTTCACCTAATAAAGTACACCATAAAGGTTTACATTCAGCTATCTCCCAAATTTTATTTCTTCAAAAGGCTAAGCAGTGTTTTTCGTGAGCTCAGTCTTTAAAGTCTTTTTTTGTGGCACTTTTGCCATCGCCTACCACCTTTCCACATGTAGCAGCCAGGCAGGTAGCAAAGTCAAAACCCCAGTAGGAGAAACTACCACCTAATCTGCATGTCATGCATTATTCATGACCCCCTGATTCCTGCACCTGCATCTAGGCAGGAAGCTTGCAGGGAACATTCATTATTCTTTCCTTAGCCTCACACAGGCTTGATTACTGCTAAGCCACTTTGTTCTGTAACTAAGGGTTTCAGGCCTCAGTACTAACTGCTGGATATGAAAAGAAAAAAAAAAATCACCATGCTGGAGAAAAAGGGCAATCTTGGTTGTTGTGTAACATGTACTGAATCCTACAATGTGCTCTTCTGCGACTGACAGTTTATGTCAGATGGAAATGCTCACATTGGTGATTTACATTACATAGAAAATGGGAAGCTGCACCATTCAGGCCATGCACACCAACTGTTCTATTTATACACACTTACTCAGTGTCTGAGGCAGACAGCATTTACCCAGTGCTGGGCTTAGCTTTCCTGCTAAGCATGTGAGAACTTCTTAGATATCTTAATACAGAAATGACGCTTCCTTCTTTGGGCATAAGCACCAAAGGAGCTAACCGTTAAGTTTTGTATTTTAATGACTAATATTTAGAGGTAAGAGAATATGATCACTCTGCTTTTCAAATTTGTCATGAAGCAACAGAATGGCTGGTGGTTGGAAGTAGGATGTGAAAACCGGACACCCTGCACAAATTACTGATCACAGAGGAACTGCTGGGGAAGGGTACCGATCCAACCTTTTTACTATCCCCATCACTGAAAAGCAGTGACAACTGAAATGTGACAATTTAATTTCAATCTTGCAGCCTCCAATGAAATTAGGATGAAATGTACAGTACACACTGTGTAACCAGGCTGCCTGGGATGGAATTCCAGCTCCACCTTTGATCAACAGTGTCATCCTAGGGTGAGTTACTTAACCTCTCTGTGCTTCAGTTTTCTCACGTGTACAAATGGAGGCAACAATGATAACCACCCTCTAGGGCTGGGAGATTTAAATGAGTTAATAGCTGTGTAAAGTGTTTAGAATAGTGCTTGGTACCCAGGAAGAAGTTAGCTGTTATCACTAGCAGAGCTGATTATATTGGAAGGGATAGGAACATGGAAACTGAATATCCAGCTCATTCCAAGTGACTAAGACAACAATTGTGCTCTATAGAGCCTGCAGTCTTAACTACTGTGCTTCTATGACTTGCCTAAAGATGAGGTAACAAAGAGAAATGAGCACATATAGAGTAACATGAACCAAATAATGTGATTTCTAACATGGCTTACTCTACGGTACCTCATTTTTCTATTGTTTATTAGAAGACCTGTGTTCAGTTATGTCCCATTCAAGAACAAGTAAATAATCACAGCGATACAAAATCACTTCCATTTACTAAGACCTTACTATGTGCTAGACCCCATGCTTAGGACTTTAGGTACATTATCTTATTTTATGCTTATATCCTTATTACCCACATTTTAAGTTTGAGAAAATAGGTTTAGAAGAGTTAGATAACTTGCCATGGTCACACAGCTAGTGAACAGCAAAATCCAAACTTGAATATAAGGTATAGCTGACTTGTCCTGCTTCAAATTACCTTCCAGCCCTTAAGACCACATAGACAGGGGTGGGTGGGTAAAAGTAGGTTTACAGTTGTTCATATAGAAAATAATACAATAATCCTATCTAATAAATAGGTAATATGCAAATTGACCATCACTACAACACACAAGATGGCCACCCCCATGTGGACACAAGATGGCCAGCAGGGGAGGGAAGTTGGGAAGGACCAGGCCTGAAAGGGAGGGCAATTGGGGTTGACCAGGCCTGAAGGGGAGGGCAGTTGGGGGAACCAGGTCTGCAGGGGAGGGAGGGCAGTTGGGGGGACCAGCCCTGCAGGTGAGGGCAGTTGGAGGGACCAGGCCTGCAGGGGAGGGCAGTAGGGGGTGACCAGGTTGGCAGGGGAGGGCAGTTAGGGCAATTGGGCTGGCAGGGGAGCAGTTAGGCATCTATCAGGCTGGCAGGCAGAAGCGGTTAGGGGCAATCAGGCAGGCAGGCAGGCGAGTGGTTGGGAGCCA